GTTCTCGCTTGCGTGTCTCTGTGGTGCCTACACATTTGTACTTATCACATTGCAAACATGCACAGATGTGTCACTACACTGTCGTTTCAAGTATAACCTCAAAAAGATCTCCAGAATCTAGATAAATACACCTCTTCACTTGCATGTCTCTGGTTGTTGACACTGTGACATTTTGTGGGGTGTTAGAGTTTATACTGTAGTGACACATCTGTGCATGTTTGCAGTGTGATAACTTTGTGTTGAGTTGCAATAAATCAGCGCAAAAAAACAAACCCCACAAAATGTCGAAGTGTCAACAACCACAGAGACATACAAGCAAAGCAAGGAATTCTAGGTTCTGAGATCTCCAGAACTCACTGTTCTCCCTTAAGCTTGCGTGTCCCTGTGGTGCCTACACATGATAAATGGCGTTAGGTACCTCTCATAAGCTCTCTTGACAGCAGGATACCCAAAACAAATTACAGGTACAAGTCACCGCACTTGTGGCAAGGAATCGGATCATCCATTTTCTTTATGTTTATTTTTTTATGAGTGAGTGAGTTTATACAGTCGTACATGCCTGTTATGTGATAGTGTGGCCACCATGAAATTTGTTGAAATGTTGTCCATTGGCCCAATCAGCAAATTTTTCTTCTCTTAAAACATTTTGAAATCTAGAATAAGTGTTCTTTATTACACATTTCTAGACCTATCCACTCCTTTTTGTTAGCAGTGGATACTACTTGAAATGTCTTACAATTTTCAAGATATATCCAGTTGTTTGAGTTACAATTTCCATGTATACATATATCTCATTACGTGGATGTCTAACCTACATCGATGTAGTCTTAGATTTAGTTTGCTAGAAAAAGTCGTACTTTCGTTCTCTTCATTCTCTTATAATGTATATCTCACTTCAGTCAGTAAGTTTAGATAAATTCAAAATCAAATTAAAAGTATCACACCTACCATACACATATCTTCCAAAGTATCAGTGGTCCATAGTGCCCCGACTTACTACTACATGTATCTACATTGAACTTTATCTGCCCAATGTTAATCCTGACTGACAGGTGAGTTTAATCTGTTCGATTTTTTTCCCGGCGGCCAAAAGGGTCGAGAGATGAAATCCAGACCGACATCGGAGGTTGTCGGGATTTGTCTAATTACACAGACGGATTGGACCAACTTTGATGAATAATACATCAAATAGATAGCGATTTCAGGAATCAGTGCCGGATTAGGGCAACTTGTGTCAATGGCGTACTGTAAAGTCATTTAAAGTTTGTGCAGACTTAATTTCCGGGTGGGCCTGAAGCCCTGAAGGGAGAGTGATGTTCATATATGGTTACCGGTTAGTGCTGTGTACCTAAACCCACGTAAATGTCCATATTCAAGTCAAGAGGTTTAGGTTACAAGTCTGGACCTAAACCCAGGGCATATCCAAAATACAGAAGGGACTTCTCAGTTAACATTTCCCAATGGAAAATGGGGCATTTTTACCGCAAAATTTTGTAGCAAGCACTGCACTACCAGGGTTAAGAAGTAAGCAAGGCACATCTGGGCAAGACGGTGGCCACATAATTTACGTAGGCTTACACTTATAAGGCTGCCAAAGGGCAGTTATACTGGATATACAGAATGATACAGAAACAGATACAGAAGCTGTTGCGTTTTGCCAAAGGGCAGTTACTACACAGATATAGAAACTTGTGTGTTACACCGAAGGGCAGTTACATGTATGCTGGCTATACAGATACAGAAACAGATACAGAAGCTGTTGCGTTATGCCAAAGGGCAGTTACTATATGATACAGATATAGAAACTTGTGTGTTACACCGAAGGGCAGTTATACTGGCTATACAGATACAGATACAGATACAGAAACAGAAGCTGTTGTGTTATGCCAAAGGGCAGTTACTGTACAGATAAATGTACAGATGTACATTGTATACAGATACAGATACTGATGATACTGATACAATATCATCCTTCATCCTTTGCTGCATCAATGTCATACATTATACTACATGTATGCAAAAAGGCAAACAGAATGTTGCCTAAAGCTGAGCACTCTGCCATAAATTACATGTATTAACATGTACATATGGAAAATGATAGTAAAATTACCTTCCATTAAAGACATTAAAAGCTAAATAGCTGCCTATAGGATAGCTAGTGCCTACATTGTATTGTCTTGCTGCAATCCCGTAAAGTTAAGGACGTATAGCTATTTCAAGGTCAACTTTAAGGTGTTTAGTTTCAATGTCAGTGTTGGAAAACTGATTGTACAATGTTTCATCACTCAGGTTTCAGATCAATAATTATTGGAGATAGAAAAGGTTGATCAGCGCAAAAAATTTATGTCTCTTGCACACACAAAAAAGGCTAGAGTCGGCAGTTTTTTCTAGGGTCGGTCGGGAAACAGGAAACAGAACATTTTTTTCCCTAGGCCTTACAATGATCACAGAGTTACTGAGTTACTGAGTCTCAAACGAGTGAGACAGAGAAATCTGAGATCGGATCAATTCCCTGAAACATCCCTGAATTTCCCGGAATTGCTGGAAGGCACACACAGCAATGCTTCCAAATATGGGCTTATGTTCCAAATATGGGCTTATGTCCTGCTCAGTAAATGTTTCAGGTAACGCTGAGTCAGGAAATTGGCTCAGCGACTGTCATTTATCACCGAAATGACCAAATCCCAGGGCTTGAAATTCGTTTTTGGGAATAGGTGCACAGGTGCACCTAACCTAAAAAATTGGGTGCACCAAAAAATTTTTGGTTTGCACCATATAAAATCTTACTGCTCCTCTTCTAAGATTGAATCTGAAATGGGAGCTAACTTCAAAATATTAAACAAGACTTGTCAGTACTTAGTACTGCAGCAAAGATTTTGTTATTTTTCTGATACTTAGGTGCCAAGCATATCCTGTATACTATTTACTATGTACAAAAATGCCTACAAAAATATTTGGGTGCACCAGTGCACCCGCAGAAAAAATTGGGTGCACAGCTCCAAATTTGGGTGCACCAGTATTTCCAGCCCCGCCAAATCCCCTTCTTCATGGTTAAAATGTTCTATATTCATCTTCACTGAATACCGTTAAAGTTCAAATGTGGCAACATTAAAGGGAAACCTTAACTTATTTATAAAAGTGGGCCGTTGGTGATCTTCAGAAATGTCACATTGTATTTTCACAAGTGAATACAAAGTGTTTCTGTTCATGAAAATCGTGGGGAAAATACAGTTGGACCTGGTGAGACTTATTTATAAAAGTGGGCCTTTGGTGATCTTCAGAAATGTCACATTGTATTTTCGCTAGCTGATACAAAGTGTTTCTGTTCATGAAAGTCGTGGGAAAATATAGTTGCACCTGTTGAGAGTATAATCCATGTGGACGTTTTGTAGAAGGTACTGGAAGTAATTGCAAACTTGGAACAAGCCATTTTGGCACTGATTCACGGAGGCCATTTTGTGTGGGGTAATGGAGAACGGTAGAAGATCCAAGATGCCATAACTAAATAAAACAATTTTAAAGGCCTGTTTCAAAAAATTTGGTTGAAAAATGGCAGACTTGAATCCATTTGATCGAGTGGCAGGAGGAGGAGGAGGAGAAACATAACAGAAAACAATATATTTCATCCATACCTATGGTATATATTATTATGAAACAAAACAAACACTGTCCGAAAACCATAAAGGCAAATGAATATTTTGATAATGCTAATGGCAGCAAAATGCTGTTTTCCCTTGTAAACACATTCCCATCATTCTCATCATTCGAGCTCCAAGTACAATGTAATTTGTTCGTAAGGTCCGATTTCTGACCCACCCCATCTGCAAAACCACCACCAAAACCACTATTTTGATGTCCATATATAATGGTAGCAAAAATGCTGTTTTCCATGTTAATGTTACGTGTGTCTATTCCTACATTCTTTTTCATTCAGTAACACCATCATTTCAGGTCCATCAGCAAGTATTTTGTTCTTAAGGTCTGATCCCCGACCCACCCCATCTGCAAAACCACCACCAAAACCACTATTTTGATGTCTATAATGGAACCAAAATGCTGTTCTCCCATGTACATGTGTAAACACATAAGTCATCATTCTAGGTCCATCAGCAAGACTAGTATTTTGTAATGTCCGATTTCTGACCCACCCCATCAGCAAAACCACCAGCAAAAAAATGGTGGTGCCCATAATGGTAGCAAAATGCTGTT